TTTTTTTTTTTTTTGAGACAGAGTCTCGCTTTCTTGCCTAGGCTAGAGTGAGTGCCGTGGCGTCAGCCTAGCTCACAGCAACCTCAAACTCCTGGGCTCAAGCTATCCTCCTGCCTCAGCCTCCCGAGTAGCTGGGACTACAGGCACAAGCCACCATGCCCGGCTGATTTTATATATATATTAGTTGGCCAATTAATTTCTTTCTATTTTTATGGTAGAGACAGGGGTCTCGCTCCCGCCTCGGCCTCCCAGAGTGCTAGGATTACAGGCGTGAGCCACCGCGCCCGGCCAACTCTTCTTACTCTTTAGTCACTTAGTGCCTTCCTGAGGCAGAGAACAGCCTGGGCTGAACCCCTAGCTCTCTGGCCTGACTTCCCTCATCTGTGAATTGAGAAAACTACAACTATATCACAGGGTTTCCTGAGAAATAAGTGAGTTAATATTTATAAACCAATATGTGTGTTTCTTAAACAACCCTAACTTATCAGCTGTTTCTCATTTATCCCCATTTTATTACCCTTTTAGTTGCTAGGAAACTAAAATTTAATCAAGGGCTAGAGACTTTTTTTCTCAAATAATTTTCTTGATTTGGTTTTGCTACACTTGTTTTCTTTTTCATGTTAGTGCTTTTTTATAATGAATGTTTGAATTAATTCTTTGGTAAATGTGGAACTTGCTCCAAAGTGTCACGTGACATTGGCCCTAAAGTTCTTTTCCTCCTTGTTTTTCCAACCACAGTTATAGTGATTCTGTTGATCTTGGTTTATCCTTAGTTGATTTCAAAAACTTGGCTGCTTAAAAGTCAATATCTGACTTTTAAGTTAATACCTGGCTTGGTCTTACTGTACGACAGAAATACGGAACTGTGTGCATGTGCACACATATGTGTGCCTAATTCTCTGACCCTGCTTAACTATTTCATGGCCATTAGAAATCATTCTTTGTGATTTTTTTTTATCTCTAGAACCTATCTATATTTGCAGAATATAATTTGTGATTTTTTTATCTCTAAAACCTATCTATATTTGCAGAATATAATTCCTACTTCTTTTTTGTGTTTGATGCCCTTACTATTCCTATTTAAACAGGTTTGTAAGGACTATGAATCTTCTGGTAAAATAGGAATAAAGATGGTTATGTTTTTACATTGTTAAAATGTCTATACTGCCCAAAGTGACCTACAGACTCAACACAATCCCTATCAAAAACCATCATCATTTTTCACAGATATAGAAAAAATATGCTTTGTATGGAACCAGAGAAGACCCCATATAGGAAAATCAATCCTAGGCAATAAAAACAAAATAGGAGGTATTAATTTACCAAATTTCAAACTATACTACAAGGCTATAGTCATTAAAACAGCTTTTTTTTTTTTTTTTTTTTTTTTGAGACCCCGTCTCTACGGGAAATACAAAAATTAGGGCTGCATGGTGGCGTATGCCTGTAGTCCCCAGCTACTCAGGAGGCTGAGACAGGAGGATCGCTTGGCCCAGCAATTCAAGGCTGCGATGCGCTAGGCTGGCACCACTGGACTCTAGCATGGGCAACAGAGTAAGATGCTGTCTCAAAACAACAACAACAGGCCGGGCGCTGTGGCTCACGCCTGTAATCCTAGCACTCTGGGAGGCCGAGGCGGGCGGATTGCTCAAGGTCAGGAGTTCAAAACCAGCCTGAGCGAGACCCTGTCTCTACCATAAAAATAGAAAGAAATTAATTGGCCAACTAATATATATATAAAATCAGCCGGGCATGGTGGCTTGTGCCTGTAGTCCCAGCTACTCGGGAGGCTGAGGCAGGAGGATAGCTTGAGCCCAGGAGTTTGAGGTTGCTGTGAGCTAGGCTGACCCACGGCACTCACTCTAGCCTAGGCAAGAAAGGAGACTCTGGGTCTTC